CATTTCCAATGTTACTCTACCTTATGTTGCTGCTTGCCTTATTAACCTTGTTTTCTATTTTTTTCACCACAGGAAGCTAAAAAAAAAAACACCTTCCCCCCCCCTCCCTCCCCCCCACACACAAAAAAAATACCAAAAACCAGAACACCAACTATATTTCACACTAAGACTAAAAATGTAAACACAAAAGTCAGAGACGCATTTCCCTGTGAGTGGAAATCAGATGTGGAACTGCCCCTTTTATTTTAGTGATAAACTGAAATAAACTTAATAAACATAGCTCATGCTGTGCTGGCTAACTAGCAATGATCCAAGGCCCTTAAATTTTGTACTGTTCAACTTAATGGCAGATTTAAAAGTTATTTATTTTTTTAATATTGAATAAAAAGAAAATATTTATCTTTTTTTTTTTGTTTGTTTCATTCTCTTAGAATCAGCTTCAGAAATTGCAGTTCTCCTGGATCTTACAGGCACGAAAGCATCAGTCCAGGAACAAAAACCAGTACTGAACTTTACTGCCCTGCTAGGGAAATTTTAGCATTTTACTAAGCAGCTCTATTGTTTGCAGTGGTTGATTCCTCCAATGAGAAAATCTTCTCAACACTCTCATAAACAAGAAACGACTTTTGTTACCGATAATCATGTGAGTTCTGTTCAACTAATTTGGTAATCAAAACAAATGACTAGAGGCTAAAAGTATGTCTATTGTTAGGAAGATTTTTCTTTTTTACTTCCAGAAATTGTATCTGTAATCAGATGCTGCAAAGTTTCTTGATTATTCCTGCAATAAAAAACTGTCTCTGGAAAAATTAGATACTATCAGAAGAAGAAAAATATTACACAAGCCCAAATATGTTCTAAAGCGAGAAGTTTATTACATTACATTATTACAGTAGACAAGATTTGTGATGATCCATAACCCTATTGCCAAACCTTAGTTATATGTTGGCAAGTATATATCTCTTCTTGTATATTACTTAGTATATGCCTCTTTTTTGATATAGAAGTACAGATTCCTACATTTATGAAACAAGAAAACCCCCAAATGAAAATTATTTGTGAAACACTTTAAATTTTTGTTTGTGTAATGCTAGGTTGTGTATGTAAAATGTTTCATGTGAAAAAGTGCTAGTTATACTTAATAGGTACAAAATTTATTATTATTATAAGTACAAAATTTTGAATCTGATTTAATCTCACTTTGTTAATCCTCAGGAAAACAGTTTTACAGGTGACCTAACTGTGCAGAGACTAGTGCTTTCAGGAATAGATCTGAACAGCAATGACTTTCAGAGTCTGAAATTAATTCATGGTTCTTGCCCTGTATTTTTATGTTTTACTTCTTGGAATGTCTGCAGCTCTGGATATATGTTTTTCAGTGTGACACCTTGAATCTGTTCTGTTACTTGCTATAATCTATTCTGATTATTTTAAGAACTCATGAGATTATTTTTTAATGAAAGGAAAAGCTGCTGAAGACAACTTTCCAATAAATGTATAACAGAACAAAATATGAAGCTTATTTAGAATTTCTGTTTAGCACCTATCATTTCCCTAGATTGAGTTCTGGAGTACAAGGGAGAAACAGAAACTCCAGCACAAGTGTACATGACGGCTTAAGTTCAGAACTGATGCAGATGTAAGGGAGGCCAAACTCAGTGATGTTTCAGCAATTCTATCAACTCTGAAATCACAACTCTGGTATTCTGTAGTTGGTTGTTTTTTTGCTTTATTTTTTTCCTCCCAATAACCTATTCTTTCTTGCTGCTATTTCTATCAATTACAGAAAACCATGCTTCGATTTTTTGTTTTTAATGAAACATTTACAACAACTGTCACTGAAAATCTTTTCTAGAGATGTTTACAAACACTAAAGTTCTGGAAATTTGAATGAAAGTGATGTTCTTATGCAAAATATTCAGAGGGGGCTAAACTTTTGCTTCTACTTCTTCTCAGCCTTTCTTCAAAGCTACCTTCTCATAAATGGAAAAGTACATGGCTGGAATATAGTTCTACTGTAGATAAATGCATTTGTTGATGTATGTCAAAGCAACGATGAGGACAAACTTTTTGAAACAAGTAGTATTCCGGCAGGCTTTCCTACTCTCAGTATCTGCTCGGGACAACTACCACAAAGTGGCGCTGTTGCAAAACTAACGGGGGAAATCCTGAATATAAAATGAGCCAAGGCACCCATCAAACCCTGTGAAAAGCTTCATCCATTTATTTACTAACATACAAATCTTCTCTATAAGTATTCTATTTTATTAACATAAAATGGAATTATAGGGGTATCTTAACATGTTTAGAAAAAAACTGCCTTCACAGTGAATAAGATATTGTGTATTCTGGAGTCTAATGAAAGACCTAATTAATCAGATAAATGACTAGTTATTATTCCAATTAAAATCCTCAAAAACTGAAGATTATTTTTAAAATATGCTCAGAGCAATATTTCAATTTCTTCAAGACTTACAGATTTTGCTAAAAGTAACAAACATGATTGCTATATCAGAATCTTGGATCAAAGGACTATACTTAAAATAACAGTTTGAGATCTTTATTTTTCGTAAAACAAAACAAAACAAAATAACCAACCATAAAGCATCTTTGAAGTTTAAAAAAAAAATAAATTAATAAAATCTGTTTGTTTTAAGGCTTATCCTTAGAAAACAAGATATAACATGGCACCAAATCACCTAGCAGAAGAAGATGTAAAAATATCTAGTAAAAACAGTTTAAGGAGAGAAACATCTTTAGAGAAAAATGTGCAAAACTGCAAGTAACAAGCATGTTTCCATTTTCTATAGCTGTAAAAACACACCGTCTACAATGCTTTTAACAGTGCATGCATATTTGGCAAGATTAAGTTGTCACATCTCATGTTACAAGGTGTCTGACAGCCCACAGACACAGACAACGAGTACCAGGCAAAATCCCTCAATTCATGCATACTGCCTGGCTCTGGTAGATTCACCTCCCATCAGAGGGAGGCAGCCCCTTTGCTTGGAACGTTTAGTTGTACACTATTTGTTTGCTTTTATTTATTATTTTTTTTTTTTTGCTGGACTACCTGCAAATGTAAAGTTCCTAGGGTAGGGTTGCTTTCAGAGCTTAACCCTTTGCCTACCTCTGGAGGAGCATTCACAAGCCAGGGGAATGATTTCTATTCCTAGAGCTGTTTATCTACTTGAGGAGACTAAAAGCTGAGTCATATTTTAGGCATTTCTCAGATTTGACTAGAGTGTTGGGATAGTGAGAAAGCAGTTAATTCTTACATCCTTTTAGCTGAGAAAGGTCTAAAAAGGATGGAAACTGTGTTCAATCAAATAGCAAAGACAAAAAGGCTCATGAGCTGTTTAAGATTTGTGTTGTGCATGTTTCGGAATATCTCTTGGTTTGGTTTATTGTTTTGGTGGGTTTTTTTTAATGTGAATTGATGAAGCAGTAGTTTTCAGTGGAATGAATGCTCTTAAGAGTCAATGATAGAAGATTACTCTCTCCGTTCACATCTGGGCAGTTAGGGAAAATAAGCAATTCAAGCAGCACTTAAGAAACAGATGCAATATATAGAATTTAGACTTCTTTAAATAGCATTATCTTATGGTTGAGAAAATTTAGGTAAAGGACAACAACTACAAACAACACCTACCATGTTCCAATCCACAGCGGAAAATATTTTATAAAATGGTGGCAACTATCTAGGTAGAGCTTGAAGATGATGTTACAGTGCTTTGACAGCATTAGAGGTCTAATAATCCTTACAAAGGGAGGAGAAAGAGTAAAATTTGTTTGTTAAAAAACTAAAGAGAAAGGTTCATGATCTTGTGAAGCATCTGATTACTTCCATTTTGAAGTATTGTATCTATATTATATCTATCTTATATAAGCAGATTCTTATGGTTATTACTTGTTCAACTATGCTTGAATCAAACAGAAAAGAAAGATGACTTAAGCATGTAAATTTAGAGGGAGACTTAGAGGAATGCAGCTAAATTTATCAGCCATCTCTGTGAGCAATCTCTAAATAAGAATTTTAGAAACCAGTCACTACTGGTCGCTGATTAACTTTCCATATTTTTGGCACTCACCATCTTTTTCCTAATGGACTAATCTGCAAATCAAAACTGGAGGCATATCTGGACAAAACTCAACTCTAAGGTCTATTCTTTCTATTTTTATGATGTGAGGAGTGACTTGGCTGAGAGAAACAATGACAAAATAAATAAATGTGCCTAGAATTTGGAAGTAATAACAATAACAATAATAATAATAAAGCCAGAGAGAGACTGGAAGTTTATGGCTTTTCAGTTCTGTTTCTCTATTTCACCTGTTTTGCATGTCCTATAATGATTTCTAAATATGGATAAGAATAGAAACTCATGATGGCAGTTTGACCAAAGACTGCATCTGTGTATATATGTGAGTATGCATGTGAGAGACAAAGCAAGTGTGGGGGGAAGAGAGAGACAGAGAAAAAAAGAGAGAAAGAAAGGGACAGAGACAGAGAAGAGGGAATGGACTATTAGAGTTGTACATTCCTGCAATGAAATACTTGTCTTCTGAGAGTCACAGTCCGGAAGAGATTGTTTTATGGTAATGATTTAACAAAAGAATTACAAAGAATATTCCTGGGTACTAAGACTTTTCCTTATAATACGAAAAGATTTTGACAGGAAAAGGAATGAAATTATTAGTTGGAACAAGAAAAAAAAATAATTAAAAAAAAAAAAACAAAAAGAAAAATAAAAAATAGACACATTATGGGTATTGTAAAGCATATAAGAGAAAAAAAAAGACTTTTATGACAATTACGTTATTTTCAAAAAAATGTGTCGCTCACTGAAATTCCCCAGCCAGGCAAAATTTTTATAAACAGTAGGCAGTGAAAGTAGAGTATGGCAATAAAAGGGTTAATCTACAGAGCAGAGCCATCTGGCTGAGCTGGTTTGTTATAATCGGGGAGATTATGTTCACGGGACTCAGAGTTAAAGGCTCCTCTCCCATAGAGCAACTCTGCACAACCCAAGCAGACAACTTTGGGACTTTGAATGAACGTATTTACATTTACCTTTCTCTTCATGTCGACTTTTCTGGAAACATTTACACGGATGCCATGGTTACTCCTACCACGGTAAGGGAAATTTGACGTTTTCTAATAGGGTCCTAAGAGGGCGGGGAGAGGAGGGGGGAGAGGGATTCTTTAAAGAATTACAATGGTAGTTTGGGAGGGGTGTCTTGCAAGAAGTAGATCTGTCCCAAATGTTGATGCGTTTCCCATTGTGCCTCCTCCTTCCCCCACCTCTAATTGCCCTACAGCTTGCTTTAGTCTTGAGATTCCTCTCTCTTCCTGCTCTGTACACTGTTGTTTAGATCCCTGGTAAGAAAACAGTGGGGAAAAAATATGAGGTGCTAAAGGAATCTAATTTAAGAGGCAGAAACAAAGGAGACTCTTGGTTTTATTTTAAGACGGAAACAAGAAACTTCAGATGTAACAAAAGGAGTTGCAAATCTTGCGTAGAGGTTGCAGGAACCAGCGTCAGAATACACAGCAGACTTGCCCTAAGGGAAACTCAGAGTCCATGACATGCAAAGTCAAAATTCCTAATTCCTAGACTTCTCCTGTCTCAGGTACTTAACTTCACTGGAGCTTTGTTATTTTTTGTGCAAGTCAGACACTGAAAACCCTACTCATGACCTTTGAATCAATCACCCTTCCCCTCAAAACCAATACTAAATTCTCTGGAAGGAACTGGAGATCAAAGGATACCCTGTACATCTGTGGCTAGGTGAAAAAGATACACTCACTTTGTGTGTAGGATGGTAGGGTGACTTACTCTTACAGTACAATTTTCAGTGTTCAGTAAGCGCCCTCTAAGAATGCAGCACACAACAAATAAATACAGACATATAGAGAGCAAAATAGAAAGCTGTTTCTCATCTAAACAGCTGAAATGCAGCTTAAAGCATTAAGTTAGTTACTGGCGAGTCTTTATGGAGTTACCAAATGTTATTAGCTAAGAGGGGAAAAAATCCTTGAATGGTTTAGATAGTTTTCTGATCAGTTCTTAATCCTTTATTAAAATAAACGAGAAAGCTCTGTGCTGGTCCTATCTCTTGAACTATAAATATGCATTATTCAGAGAGATGGATATTTTGGAATGAAAAGGGCTGCTATGCACACATTCTCTCAGTCCTATATTGCAAAACCAGTTATTTAGAGGGGAGTGGGTATGTGCTTTTTCTTCCCTTTTTAAATAAACAGAGAAGTGTGCTGTATGGTCCAGGCAATTGTTATGAACTGCAGAGTTTCAAAAAGCACTCTTAACTCTTAGGCTCATGTGATTTGTTGCATGAGAAGTGCAAATGGTATGTAAAGTTTGACTTAACACTGTGCCCTCAGTAAAATACCCAGACAAAAAAGAAAGACATTCTCAGGCGCTGAAATATGTGGCCTGTGCAAGTGTGTAAGTAGAGGAGTGGTACAAAAACACTTAAGATGTCAGAAAAACGAAAATAACTAAACTACCTTGCTTTGGGAAAAAGTAGACAAAAGCAGTAAAGAATGAGAGTTAAGCATGGTTTCAACAACACATAGTATAAAGACTTGTACTTTTAGATACACATGTCAGCACTAGAAGCTGAGTCTGTTAGCATGGTAGGGGGAGGAAAACAACGTACGATTGCAGATTGAGGTCTCAAAATATGGGGACAAGATAAACCAGAAGGATCAGGACAGGAGTGCTTTGTGTAGGAAGGTGGTATATTTTGAGGTAACCAATATATTTAGTGTTTCTTATTTATTCTTTTTTTTCCCCAGGGAAAAATTAACTAAATAACTCATAGAAGGAAATACCTCAGGAGTTTGTAGGGAGAGTATTAAGTGCTGAAAATAAACCACAATATACTGTGCTATATTTTGGGTACTTAGAGCAGGTAAGCCATGCAAAGGTAGTTAGCATAACAGGGAAACTACTGCAAGTTAACTGGACAGAGAGAATGTTCATGGATGGAGAAAAGTTTAGGACTCAGAAAGGGAAGTATCACTTGAGAGGGATGGGAAAAGATGCAGACTGGATACTGGGTGAAAGTATGAAAGGGACCTACAAGGATGTAGGAAGGGTGAGTGGGGGATATGCAGTGGGAGTTTAGAGAGAATGGTGAAAGCACAGTGCAGGAAGGATGTCTGGAGGAGGAAGAAAAATGCACATAGGTTTCTCTGAAAGTAACACCTTCCTGTTTATTGTCATTAAATTGCAAAAAAGAGCACAATTACACTATTTGATATAGCATACTCTCATTTACAAAACACTATTTTTCAACAGTCACCTCCATTAACTATGCATTTTCATCAGCAATGAAAATGCATACCACATTCACAAATATCTGCATGGCTGTCTGGAACGTGGCTTGTCTTTCATATCCACCTATGATGTAGTAGACCAACAAAGTAAAATAGGAGGCATTACTTTCAGAGCATCTCTCATATATTTGGATAGAAGCATGAAGAGCTATGAAGAGCTATTTCAGAGGCTATAAGCCTGCTGGAGTATTGTGGACATGTTGTGACTGGTTATGAGCAGAGGCAAAATAAAGGAAAAAGCTGTGTGAAGGTATTGTGAGGAAATGCAAGATAAGTAAAATTATGGGGACAAGGAGAACTGTGAATATGAAGATTCGGCAGTTCTCATGAAGCATGAGAATGAGGAATGAATGAAGAATGAAGAATAAAGAGGGTATAAGGATAATATTAAGAGCTGGGTTTTCTGTAAAGATCAGTGAGCAAAGGGTAGTCTAATGGAGGTGCAGGACAAGAGAGCACAGGAAGGAATATTAGTTTTGTATTGCTTTGAAGACAAACTGAGGAAGTAGTTCAAAGGTGCAATAGTTATTTGCCTATTAGAAACAAAGGATGCCTCTTATCTGTAGTTAGGATGGAATAGGCAACATTTAACAGGGGAAGTAGCTGAGGAAAGTAGTGAAAAGTAACAGTGTTGAATTAGGAGAATACATACAAATAAAAAGGAATGATATTTTATTAAGCAAGATGCAACTAATGTACCTATGACTCTGTAGTAGGCACTAGCTAAAAGAAGCAGAAAGAGGGAATGGAACAAATGTGGATAGGTTAGCGGAGTTAGAAATTGTAAGGCACAAATTGGGATTAAATGAGAATGACAGCTCATTTAACAAGGGGTGAGAAATGATGGTGTGTGAGCAAGCAGAGAAATTATCAGTTTGTGTGTATTTATAAGGATTACAGACAAGGTGGTAGAAGTGAACAGCTATCTGATAAGTGAGTTGTGCACACAGCATGCTCAAAATAAATGAAGTACAGGTAACTAGTATAGAGCTGGGTGTGGGACCTGGGAGAATGACAACAATTTGGGGTGAAGAAGGGAAGAGCAAAGAAGATTGAGAAGAATTTTATGGGGATGTAGACAATCTGCAGTTATCTGTCTCTTACTTTGATGAAGGCTGTCTAAGAATGCAGGCAGAAATGCGTGTGTAGATAGCAGCATAAGAGCAGCCTGGGAGCTAAGACATTGCCCTGTCTCTTCTAGACATATGGACTCATTCCTCCCTAACAGGTTATAATCTTCATTGAAAGTCCCACTGTGATACCCTCATACAAACACCAGCCATGTACCCAGGAACTGATGTGAACTATGTAACTATTTCTGGTTTCCCTCTTTCCTCCAACTGGCAAAACTGAGAAGGTAACTTGGGCATTTCAGTGTTTTTCACTTGTGCTCCCAAGGCTCTATAGTTTTCTTCGATTCTGCCCATTTTCTGGCTTCCAGTGTCATTAACGCACACATGGAAGGACAACAGGGGATAGTACTCCACGCTCTTGACAAGGTGTGGCATGCTTTCAGCAACATCCTGGATCTCAGATTCCAGGAGGCAGCATACCTCTCAAGACACTCTGTCAGTCCAGCAGAAAGGAACATCAATAAAAGGGAATCACCCACTACATGCAGGCTGCTGGTATGGTTTTTACTTGCAGATCTTGGCCATGGCTGCCTATAATTGTATAAACATATCTGGCTTTGAGAGTGAAGCTAGAGAGTGTGAACTCAACTGCAGACTTGCTTTTGTGGATCACCAGGGATCAAGGTGTCTTCCTTTTAGAGTTGTTCACTTCTGGAATATGACTGTTAAACAACATATGTCTCTCTCCGTTGGCACCTGTAGCACTAGAAAGCATTTAAACTGCTTTTTGCAACCCAATCCTTGCTGTAAAAGATCATCTGTGTGAGTGTATATGTGCTAGTACTTACCTTATCTCCAGGAGAAAGTTCAAGGCACTCAGTGCTACCAACTGTCTGAACTGAAGACTCGTTTCTTACCAGTTCTGTCTTAGTGGATGCTGTAGATATTTCTGGAAATTTCTCTATAGGAACACTAGTTTTAGCTCTCAGACAATTATTTACCCCCATACTGGCAGACATGAAGAACAATTCCCTTGGTTGTGAACCTGCAAGCAAGTTACAGCACTTTGTCCTGCCTGCACAAACTGCTGTTATTGAGTGCTTCTCCCAGCAGTGATAGAGTAGGCCATCCGCCACCCTTCCTTACATTACATAGCACTAGTCACATGAAAGCTCATAGATCTCTTTCCATTTTTTTCCAGGGATAGATTCCTAAACAACAACAACAAACAAACAACAACAAGAAACCAAACCAAACAAAAAAAAACAAGTGTTGAAGTCACAGGAAACAAACTGTCACCAGTGCAGGTTAGGCTAAAGTCCTAGCATTCCTCTGCACACTTCCTCCCTGTTTAACCATTGAGTTGATAGAAAGCGAATGGTAATTCAATCTGCCAGTTGGCTGGGAGAAGAGAAAGGGATTGACAGGCACAATTAGTGCTAAGTGGTTATAGGAAAGTGTTCAAAGTGTGAGTAAATCGTCTGTGTTCAATGTGAGGAACATGGAGTGTTTGCATTCACATGAACTCCTTTGTAATCACAGCACAGGCAACAAAATCTTTCTGCAAAGGTGGGAACATCGGGGTGATTCTGCATCTGTCTTCCAGTGCTGGGAATAAAAGAGCACAATCCATCCAATTCAGTGGTTGTGTGGTACAAGCATCTCACTGTGTGAGCAAGCTCAGTACAGTGGTCTTAA